GCGTCAGAATTTTTCATCGAGCTATTCGGACTTGAGTAGCTAATATTGAAAGATTGATCGCGGGCCATATAAATTCATTAGACGGGCCGGATCTGGCCCGCGTGCCATATAATGGCCATGCCTGCCCTAGACCATCACTGACGCGCAATTGACTGATTGCCCCTGGATGTCGGCTTCTTACAGAAACACAGCTTCCCTATCATCAAATGTCATGGCACGTCACTGCCAGAATGACAGTCCTTGGATCCCGGAGATCTGATCCTACCAGTGGTCGAGTGGATAAAACTAACCCATTGGTGAGGTCGTGCCTCAAAACCGGCTGGCCCCGTGGTCTTCCGGTTTTCTTCACGTTTGTAATACCTAAATAGGAACCAGTTCGTGTGTTGTATTGCCGTATCCCACTAAACCAAACAAACTAATTATCAATATATTTTATTACATATACTTAAGTTTAATCATTCAGAGTATGCAAGCCATTAAATATTTTTCTTAAATCTCAAGAATATATTAACAAATTTGGCAATCCCTATATTATTATTATTTTAATAAATAATTTAAAATTACTTAATTATTTATTCCTCACTATAGTAAATGAATGAATTATTTTTGATGAAATTCTGTTTCACAATAATGCAATCATATCTCTTTAGTTTTACTACGTAATTCATAGTTTGCTTGATATATGAGATATTATTTATAGTTTTCAAAAATTTTTTTAAGCTTATTAAACCTATTTTCAACATACTAGAGTAGGTTAAACCGATTAAGTATAACCTCAAATTATTTTGTATAACAACAAAAAGAATAGCTCAGAATTCTGTTTCAAATTTAAGTTAAATTTATGAAAATTAGTTAATATAAAACCAATTATTTTTATTAATTATAGTCATAAATTCTTATTGTTTTATTAATCGGAACTTAAGGACTTATTTATCATTAGTTAGTGTCATAAGACTATTAATTTATCAGTAATTAGATTTAATGTTTACTTAATTTATCAACTGTATATTTATCATGTAGATTTAAAAATAATAATACCTTTAAGGATATGAAACAAAAATTTAGTTTTTCTTCATTAATATTAATATACACTTACTCAAATATATGTTTATTTTTTTGGACAAGATAAAAGCTATTTTTTTCACTTTTAATTAAAGTGAAAAAGATAGCTTTTCTACTTTCATATTATAAATTTACTCCCTCTTTTTGATGATTAGAATTATTATAAGGCTATATTAAAAAAAAATTTAACATAATCTATCAGTGCATCCTCATCAGCAGTACAGATTTCATCAACAGACTTTATTGTATAAGTTCAATCATTAGAATATGCAAACCATTTAAAATGTCTGTTAAATCTAAACCGTTATATTCATACATTAAAATATAAATTATTATTTTAATAAATGACATAAACATTAATCAAAAATACTAAAAAGTAATCAAAACAATCTTACTTCATTATGCTAAAGGATAAAGAGAAGAGAAATATCAATAAAAATCTGAGAAAGTTAAATGAGGATGAGGACATTTATATTATCTGCCCGTCCACTAATTTCACCGTTTCAAATTCCTTAATCATGTTTGTAGGTTCTGAACATTTAATATTAAAAAAAATAATAAATATTCATTGCAAAAATCTTCATGATTATTTTTGTATTAAAGAACCTGATTTACACATAATCTGAACAAGTTTTAGCTTAGGCATTCTACTTTCAAAACAAATAAACATTTTCCTAATATCTCAATAAAGAATAAGTACAGATGAAACTTGAATATCACAATTATATTGAAGCATCTTCAGTAGTGAAGATAATCAGAGAGAAGCCCAGCTACTTTCTAAATGAAAACTTGAAGAAAAATCATATAAATAGGCTGCAGTAAACGTATATATGTAAAAGTTTACGGTTGGTTGGCGTTTTTGGCACAAGAGCCATTCAGGCCATGCTGCGCCATGAGAGTAAGAGTAAGAGTTTACTCTTCATCCACAGTGCTAGTGGCCTCATCTGCGATGGTGCAAGAGTGAATGAGGGTTTGCACGTTCTAATTCGGATACCCTCTAATATTCTAGCAGTTATGCATACTGAGCATCTTATAAGTTTATAAACCGTCATCATAAGACACTGCACAAGTGTTCTTTCAACACTGTTAGATCAGATTAGTCAAATCCTTTCGTATATTTAATGTTCTAATGTACTAATCTTTTACATATTCACTTATTTTTGGTTATGTAACTAATTTAATAATCATTGATTAAATATATTATTATAAAAAATAAAACAATAAAAAGACATATATAAATAAAAAGACAATAAAAAATAGACAGATAAAAAATCATTTGATGAAAATGGAAGGATCTTGAAGCCATAATAAGCCAAAATCCAGATAAAATTATTACCACTGTTTCTTGAAATGATAGATACATACTGTATACAGTGTAAAATTACATGATTAATTGATCGAGAACCAATCAAAATAATCAATAATGGTACAATCGATCATATTTTTATACGGATTTCTATCAGTTACGTGTGACGTACTCTAGCCCATACAACAATATGCCTTGTTATCGAGTTGTTTTTCTAGCTTATATAACGGCCTTGATAAATTATTATTAGTTATAGTAATAGGTTAATGACTGTAGAGTTATCCAAATTGTAACATTTTGTCGGGCGGGATAAAAACAACCCCCCGAAAAATTACGTTAACAATATCCGATTTGCGTCACAGCATTTCGTTGGCGCTAGAGGTCGCACCATCAAGGACTTTTAGTGACGTAATTGCATGTGTACATAGGCTGTGTTACGACATACGGGAGTAAAGGGAAACGGCATTTCGTTCTGCCGATGCTGGAAAGGCGTTTGTGTTGATAACATTGTTGGATTATCGACGTTAATATAGATTATCTTTTGATTAAATACAGCCTTTCATTGCTAGGTACCAAAGCGAAAGGTAAGAGATTGTTAAAGCTAAGAATGTTTTCGGAATTTTTATAATTAAAACACGATCTACTTCAAAAATACGTGTAATTGCGGTGTAAATTAGCATTTTCCTTCTTTAATTCTATTATATATATGTACAGTATGTTACAGTTAATTCTAGTATATCTGATCTAAAGTAACTGAGCTCCATATACTCTGTTATGACGAAATCCTTTTTCAATATTTAGTTTCTAAAAAAGAAAACGGCATAAATCAGTCATTAGGTTAATATTTTTTCTCGTAGTCATCTGATTTCATAATGATCTGTAATGTCGTTTCCATTATCAAGGGTGAAACCTATTTTTTTCGATTTATCGTATACGATATATCAGTAAAAAACAAAAAAAATTATATAAATTGTGTATGTATATATCACACACACATATATATAGGTCATTAACAAATTACTGTCGATTTATTTAAAAAGTAAAACAACCTAAACACATTGACCTAATGAAAATATAGGAAAACTTATTTTTAAATATCTATTTACAAATTTAATAAAAATAGTTATAGTTAACATTATGTAGAGTTTTTAATTGTTAAATTTAAAATAATTAGTTCAATTAGATTTTATTATTTATTATTTTAATATTATAATAAACTAAACATTTGTTTTTTTTAATTGAAATGATCATTCGTATTTTTAGGAATTTTTCTGAAAACGTACACATACAGAATTGTGTGCTTGATTGTCTTGTAAATGTAGAAGTTTATATAACTTCTTTTTAGTGTAGTAAAAAAAAATTTTTTTTTGATTGCTTGAATCAAAAACAAATATATTTATTATTTTAGAATTGTACTGCTTTCTTTGCTTTTACTTCATATATTATGTTGTTTGATTGATATTTTTCACTTCCAGTAATAACTTCTACATAGGTTACATGGTGAATTTACGAATTTATTTATTTTTATTTATTTTATTTTATATATAATTAGGAACTGTCAGCTGTCAAAAGGTATCCACCCCCAATTAACAAAAGCCCCAACAATGAATTAGAGTTAAAACCAAAAAAATAAAGAATAAAAATCATGATTTATGAAATCACATGATATACATTAACACATTAATGTATGAAAAAAATATAGTGAAAACAAAAAAATTTAATAAAAAAAAACATATTGGATTTATATATGTGTATATAATTGGATTATTGGATATATATATATATGTAAGATAGTACAATGTTATTATAAGGATCAAACAAATATTGCATACATAATTATAATAAAAGGATAAACAAAAGATCATGAATACTAAAAGACCTAAAATCAAAACAAGTAAAATAAGTACAGTCAACCCTCTATAACACTGTTAACAATTTACAAATACGTGAGCCGTTCACAGCCCGGCACACATATTTGTAAAATCTAAGTGATTTGTACAACATGGAATTCATTTAAAACGGAATTATCAATAGTGTTATAGTGGGGGTCGACTGTAAAATAAAATTTAAATACATTACTGATACAAAATAACTTGACATTTTTTTTTTTTAAATGGATGAGACTTTCATGCAGTAAATGTTCTACTGGTTTTATACATTGATTGACTGGATATTTTTAGATAAAACTGGTGAAGGTATATAGTAAATCACTAAAATATTTGTAAAAAAGGATATGATCAAAATATTTTATACATTCTTTAAGTTTGGGAAGACCGATGCATACATGAACAACAGTGGGATTATGAGTTTGTGGCAAGTTACATAATTTATTTAATAATAAATACAATTTATTGAGTTTGTGCGAAAGTTTTGATATCAGAGATAAAGCAGCCATAAATCAGGTTGGAAGACAGTAATCAACTAATGACTAAAAATTGGAAAAGAAAATTGAGTATAATATGGGTTTATACAATATACCATATTTACTTGCATATAAGACAAGGTTTTTATTCATTTATCACAGCTTCAAATTTGTAGGTAGTCCTATATGCACGAGTGAAAGATTCTTTGCATTTTTGCAAATAATTTTTATGAACTGTGTATTCACATTTTTTACCAGATGCTTACCCTCTTGTATTTAAAAACATAAGTATTTTAACTGGGCAGTTTTTTTATATTGTCAGGAGTAAATATGAATAGCAATAGGAAAAGCAAAGCTTTTGAATTGAATTTCAGATTGAAATTCCATAATCACATGGGAGCCTAATATAAGTTTTAATCCATTCCCATGTGAAAACAGTTGATTATTCGGAAATCAAAATTCAGAGAAACTCATAAGTGTAATCGACAGAGAGTGGATTAGACTGTTAAGATTTGGCAAAAAAAGGTTCCTGATTATCCAGCTTTACATGAACAAATTATGTTGTCGATTTTTCATTAAAGTTTAAAATGCCAGTAATTTTTGTGGAGCAGTAACTAATTTAATGTAAATTTGAAAATAGAAAAAAGAGGACTAACACATCAAATGTGCCAAATTTAAGATAAGCTGGTGTTTGCTTGTTCTTTAACATTTTGGAATAACCAATTCCTTAGGGCACAAAAACACCTTTACAGCCTAAACAAAGGATATAAGGAGATTAGTACAGTGATGTAAGTTTGTTTATTTAATTTGAGTTGCTGCAACTAAATTAATTGCCCAGTGTTAGATACTGTGAATTTAATTTTTTAATTGCTCATTAAGTAGATTGTGTAATGCATCCTGTAATATATGCATGAAAGGACAAAAATCACTGACGTGTATATTGGAGGATGTATTACATAATCTACTTAATGAGCAATTAAAAAATTACAGATTTACAGTATCTAACACTGGGTAATTAATTGAGTAGATGAAGCAACTCAAATTAAATAAACAAACTTACATCACTCTACTAGACTTTATCTCCTTATACCCTTTGTTTAGGCTGCAATGATATTTTTGTGTCCTAAGGAATTGGTTATTCCAAAATGTTGAAGAACGTGACATCACCAACATATCTTAACTTTGGCACATTTGATGTGTAACTTTTCCTTTTCCCAATATGATAATATCACATATGTCTAACTGTGAGAAGTGCCTATGGGTAGACTCCTTTTGGGGGCTTCTGCAAGATGATACTGCATATGTTAGAGCAAAAGGTCTTGCCAACATTCTTCCATTGCATTCAGATCTATAAAAGATGATATATGCATCATCTGGAAAACTAAACCAAATATAGATGAGTTTATTCATTACATGAATAACAATCAATAAGGCCTAACTTGTAAGTCTCAAACTTGACCAGTCCAGTGATATATATGCTCACTTCCTGGATCCTTACCACTGCTTTACTCCAGAGATGTTGTTAGACTGTTTAAGGGTTGTTATTAATGGATCCATGAAGTCGTGTAGGGGTGGTTCAGAACACCAAATGATCAAAATGTCATTGTCATACCTCAAATACAATAAGATGTTGTTCTCAAAAGATGGTAATATGTTCTCTTCCAATTGTCTAACATAAAGTCCCTGGTACTCTCCTGGATTGGAGATAAATAGTTCCTTCAAAAGTAAAGAACAAGGAATGACAGATCAAGTGCAACAACTCCAAGAAGAATGAATGGTACTGTGAGGGTGTTTGATATTTATGAATAGAAAGTCTCATAGTTCACAAAAACATGGTTCAATCATGAAAATATATTTGAAATCCAATACTGTAAAGAATACTCATGGTCTTATACTAAGATTCCATAATCTCTGAAGTAACATGTCAGGGCCATTTACAAATGGGGAGGTTTCAAGGCAGAGATAAAACAATTAAGAATCCTCTCAATATACATGGTGGGTGATGTGGTCTTATCCACTATTGGTCTCATTTGTGTTCCTTCCTTATGCACTGTACTTTAGCAAACACAAAGATGCAAGGATTTCCAGGACTTGAAATTGAGGCATTCCACAAACAAATGACGCCAGCTAGAGGTGTGTTAATGAAATGTAGAACACTGGAGTGTAGCTTATGGGCAAAAAGTATTACCTATAAACTAATGGGCAAAATGTACATTTTGGAGTTAATTAAAGAATGAAGAAGTTCTAATCTGGTCAGGTTTTTGATTGTAGTGTAATAAGTCTTGATTAAGAGCAAAATTGGTAGTTATATTGATAGAAGAGAAAAATATAATAATCAAAGATCAAAAAGTTTTTTATATAATGTAAACACTGTTATTATTTTTTAATGAGTGTATCAAGCTTGATATAGTCATATTACATCCTAAGAGGACAGTTATGTGTTACTTTTGATATATATATATATATGTATATATATATATATACTTTTGCATATACATAGATGAGTAGTTTTGTATATATGTACAGTAGAACCCTGTGAAGTAGCTTCTGAAGAGACCACTAAAAAATCTTCTTAGGTGGGTAAATGTCTTATGCAGGAATTGTAAAAAAAGTAATTTTTATCTGTATAATCAATTTTATTTCAATATCAAGGTAATATAAAGTAGCATATGTATAGTGTAACATATAATAGTAAAATGCACTGACTATAGCAGGTGATAAAGTGACTAGTGTCAATATGATGTGTCAATAGTTAATGGACAGCACTGGATAGGGAGTATGTCAAAACAATAAGACTCCTGTTAATTCAGCAACCATCCCAGGTGTGCAGGTGTTTGATATACAATGTGATGAACATCTGGAGTCACTTCACAATTTTTATAAGTGATAAAGTTATGGTGAGGAAAAAGATTATGATTTGTCTTAAACAGAAACTTCTAATGGGTAAAAGGACTGATCATCAATAGGACTGATATTTTGAAATTTCTTACATGGGGAAAATGTGTTGTGGGAAATTTTAACATACATCTTATAGTATAAATGCCAAGACTGGAGAAAAATTGGGCTTATTATGTGGGAAAACCTTTCAGGCAGAACTTCTTAAACATGTTCTATTGTATATACACTGTATATCTGAGAAATTAGAAAAATAATAAAATGAAAAATAAAATAATAAAATACATTTGCCTATTCAGTGAAATGCAACTAATATTAATGAAAATA